CATCGCCTGAAGAAGTACAATCTTAGTACTGAAACATGAAAGTTTTGTGCAACGATGTAAAATGTTTCTATTGTAATTTATTATAATATAAATATTATAATATTTTCCTCTAACTTGTATTGAGTACGTTTTTTAAAAGCAAATGCTACGAACTGTGGCTTTTTAATCCATCTGTTTTTTCTCTCATTTGTATATATATATATATATATATATATATATATATATATATATATATATATATATATATTAAAGATGAAAAAGAATTGTTTTTTATTATAATGTGGATTTTTCATATACTTAAGATGATAAAAATGTTAATACATATGTTGGTTTTACAACGACGACGTTGACGAGTCGGCTTATATTTCCCTCGAATGAGCATAGTTCAATCTCAGAACATTTAAAGGAACACTCATATCCACATTCACAGATTAGACAGATATTAGTAGAAATGACATTAGTAATTATCAAAATAATAATAAGCAAAATCTTAAAATTCTGGAAGCCGTTTATATAAAAGAACTGCGGTCCAAAATAAATAAATTCAAGTATGAGTAGCAACAAAGTTCTTAAATGGTTGTAGCATCAAATTTTTCTATCAAATACTAAATTAAAATGTTTTCTTTCTTTTTTTAAATTCTAAAAGTTACCAAACGTGCATGATGGAAAATTTGAATTTGAATCTGAAACGCTGTAAGGTAAACAGTGAAAAATTATTTTGAATTTACGGAAACCTTGTATACACGTCCACAGATATTTTAACACCCTGCGGATGACCTTGAAACTACTTTTGAAAATAAAAATTATTTGTAAGAAAATTATGGTATTTTTCTTGATCAATTTTCTACAGCCACCAAGAAATTAATTCGTGGACTTAAAAGGATTAAAACTAAAATACATAGAAATAATACGTCTTAATTATTTAACCAAACCTGCTTGACTATATATATATATATATATATATATATATATATATATATATATATATATATATGCGTTATTACTTAGACATTATTATTAGTGGATACCCATATTTACGTAGACGTACCTCTTGCGTACCTTTTCGTTTTCTGTACTTAAAGCTAGATTGCTCGAATAATCCTAGCGAATATTCTTTGTAGACTGTAGAAGGTGGTTTTCTCGCTTGGCAGCGTGTTCATTTTCAAACTATTAAAACTTTGAAGCCTAGAAATGACATTTATATAACCAAGCCTGATACGAGTTCCGGTTTAGTCATCTTAAACAGTCAGGATTACATTGATAAGATGGCGATCATTTTAAATAATTCCTCTTAGCTTAGGAAGATTGGTCCTGCTAGCACATGAGATATCATCGGTAAAATACAGACGAGAACTCAAAGATGGTTACTATCAGTATATAAGAGTAACCTAATTTCTAAAAATGGGTATAAAAGAATTAGACGTGTCGGTTCTCAACGGCCAAGAATGTACGGATTACCTAAAGTTGCATAAAGCTGGTGTGTCACTCAGACCTATTTTATCAATGATGCACAGCACGAACTGGCGAAATGGTTAGCTGAAATGCACCAACCCGTATCGGATCTTTTCTCCATCCATAATATTTCTGCTTCTTTTACATTTTCAGATTTTGTTAGAAATTTGTAAATTTGTTCAGAAAATAAACTGTTAGTGTCTTTTGACCTTGTCTGTTATTATACAAAAGTGCCGCTTCAAGAATCTATACAGATGTCTTCTGATGTTCTTTATAAAGGTCATTTGGGTTCTGCTATTATTCACGAAACCTTGTTTTTTAAAGGAATGCGTCTAGCGACTGAGGGGGTTGAGTTCAGTTTTGACAACACTATGTACGCCCAGACTGATGGGGTTGCAATGGGTAGTCCCTTGGTTCCAATATTTGCTAATATATTTGTGGGATTTCATGAGGCTCTTTTGTGTTAAACGTGTCGTAGGCCCCATGTTTATTTGCATTATGTTGACGATATCTTCTCCATCTTTGACTCTATGCTATGGCCTATATTGGTAAACTCAACTCCCTTCATCCATCTCTGCGATTCACTGTGGATGTGTAGAGTATTTGCACTTTGCCCTTCTTGGATGTTCTCGTTGAACGTAGGGATGGTGTATTTTTCATAAATATACGTTTATGAATCTTTTGTTGCCTGTCACATTAAACATTGCCAATGGTCAACCCAAGCTGAGAACCGTGGAACTTTATTGAAAATACCTGCAGAGCAGCTCTCAGGGACAAGAGTCAAAGGAGAAAGTACTGCAATGTTGTGGCGTCGAGTTTAGGCCAGACTTTCATCTGCAAATACTACGACCGAGTATGCCTGTCCCGCACTGGACTTATCATTCATAAACGTGCTTGCAAGCGACGTGTACAGACTCCCTCGTGATCTTCGTTTTGCGAAGCCAAGCCATGTTGATGATGACGTCCCCAGGTTTAATAAAGAAATGCGCTGCCTAAGTAAATAAATGAATTCAGTGATGTAGGCATTTGTAAGAAGACAAAGAGGATGGCTGTCAGCAAGCGGGACAGCCCAAGATGTGGAGAGTATCAAAATTCAAGCAAGTACCACCAACCATGATGTTTCCTTCTTTGAAAATACCCACAGGGCCGCTCTCAGAGACAAGAGGCAGAAGAGGAAGTACTGCAACGCTATGCCATCGAACCCAGGCCGGAGTTTCAGCTGAAACTGCTGCGACATTGTATGACTGTCTCCCATTAGACTTATCAGTGACAAATGTGACTGCAAGCGACTTGTACAGACTCCCTCATGATCTTCGTTTTGCGAAGCTAAGCCATGATGATGACGTTTACAGGTTTATACATGAACTGGAAGTCCGTAGAACCGCAAGATTCTCCTGGAATCAACTTTGGTCCACTGAGCTTTAATGATTTCTTCTAATATTTTAAATGAAGAATCTGAAAAGATTCAATACATTTATGTTGAAAATGGTTTTCCTGTCGATGCCATTGAGCGTGTTATTAAATGCAAAATAAAGCGTTTTAAGGAAGCAGTTGTTTTAGATCCTATCCCATTTACTTAAAGTTGCCATGGTGAGACAGAATGAGTCAGTTGCTTATTGATTGTATAGCGACTGCTATGTTTTTCCACGCACACATTTTATTCGTCTGCGATTTGCTAATAAATCAATACTGCCTTCCTATAGGACAGTTTAGCCATCGCAGTCGTTGTTTTGAATTTTTCGGTTTTTAACTTGCTTACTTGTTTCCTTAGTACAAATTTAGCGATTGGTCAAATCTTAACCAATCACATATTTTAGTGCAGAAATCAACCTTTTCCGCGGTTTCGCTGGGAACCTATCTGTAGCTTTAAAAGAGGCGACTTTTTCACAAGCCGCCAGTAGAGTCCACTAAATTTCGCCTGTCAACACAAACTTATGACTTTACTCACAACATTTCAAACGCACACACAGACACAGAATTTTGTAATACATATATACATATCTCTCTGTGACTCAGCCAAGTTCAATCAACCAGGACTCTGTTAATTTCTCTAACACAACACACTTTCAGATCAAATGTATTCTTGTGTTATCTATACTAACAGCAGATTAGTTCTAACATTGATTTCTGAACATTTTTCTCTAAAGAGAACTTTCTTTTGAACAATCAATCACAAATCAAAATACAGTAAAAAGGAAGCAACTTCTTTTCCCTTAATCTATACATTGAATACAAATTATTGTATATTTTGTTCTTGTATGTTATTTCAATATATACTTGTTGATTCACATTTGGAGTTCGTTGTTTTCTTGAATCATTAATAATACAAAAGATATATGCGTTAAAGAACACGCCCATAACAATAGGATTCTACTCAACCGTTAAGTTGCGTACTGTCTTTCAGACTAGTTCTGTGTTTCCATCTTTTATTAAAGATCGGTTGTACTATTTTCACTATAATGGTATATAAATACAAATGCCAGTGCGATGCTGTATACATAGAACGAACCAGTCAAATGTTGAAAACCCGTATTGCGCAACACGTTCCCGCCTATTTAAGATCGAATATTTAGAGTCTTTCGTCAGG